AGGATGGTCATCAGAACTTAAGGAGACTTAAAGCCCCAGGTGGTGTTCTGAAATGCCCGAAGGAATAATGCAGAGGGTCGCAAGTGATTCCCAGGAGATTTAGGATGTGGTCTTTGTTTGGTGAGATTTTTGGTCCATCTTGTTCTGTAGATGCAAGGTTGAGAACCCAGGTCCTTCACTGTTTCTAAGAAATATAGGAGACACTGGCTACAGTACACAAAAACATTTTTTTTTTGCAGTCCCTATTTTGTCTTTCTTCTTTGTTTTCGGTTCTTTGAGTATGCCATAAACAACATTCAAATCAAAAGCATTGCATAGATAGGTAGGTAGGTAGGTAGGTAGGTAGGTAGTAGGTAGGTAGATAGATAGATAGATGATAGATAGATTATAGATATTGATAGATGATAGATTTTAGATTTTAGATATAGATAGATAAATGATAGACAAATTGATTGATTGATAGATAGATGATGGATGATAGATGGTAGATAGATGGATTATAGAAATTGATAGATGAAGATAGATGATAGATTGATGATTGATAGATGATATAGATAGATAGATGATAGATAGACAGATTGATTGATAGATGATAGATAGATGATAGATGATAGATAGACGATAGATAGATGATAGATAGATGATAGATAAATAGATGATAGACAGACAGACAGACAGACAGACAGATGGACAGATGCATGCGTGCTCATGCACATGCACCATACAGGATGTGTTTTGTGTTTGGAATTCCAGACCTTGGAAGAGATTTGTCAGGTCACAATGAGATTCTTGTTGCTTTCTGACCAATTCTCTTATCAAAGAAATTTCCCATAGGAGGAACTAGGGAAGCAAATTAATCACATTTTCAGATGGGCAAGCATCTTGCTGAATGTCTTCGATTTCCTGGTTTCTCATGAGGAACTGGGAATAGTCAGATGTAAATGCTCTACTTCAATGGACAAAGGAGTCTGTATCTGAAAAGCTGCAATACACGTATGCATGTTGTGGTTACAAACAAGTCTTCAGATATTCTGTGTTTTACAAATGCACATATGGCATCAGACCCTTTTGACCTGGCTTATATACATTGGGTAAGTCATAATATTTGTTCCGTTTTGGCTTAGGAAATACATGAACACAGTTATTTTGGTTTTGCCTTTTCCTTCTTTCTCCAGATTTCAGTAATACATCGACCTTATTCAGAAAACAGCTTGATCCAGATCAGAAAACTTTCTCACTTGTGGGGTGTCCAAAGTAGGGGATTAGCTGATTACTTACTTACTTACTTACTTACTTAGGTTTGCCTGAACTGATGAGAACCAGTAGAAGCCCACCCTTGATTACATATCTAATTCTCCCACCTGGAAGAGAGAGACACCTTTGCTTTCAATTGGGTCCTAATTCCAGTGGTGTGTGAATTCAGGGAACTGTAGCTTCTATTAATTGAAGTATATCAGCATTCAGAATAGTCATGACTCCACTCCCCAATCAGTATATCTCCTGATCATGCCCATTGCTTCCAGTTGCCCAGAAGAGTCCAACATTCATTTTGAGATGTCTTGTCATCTAGTACTTGGAGTTTCTGGAGACTCTGACCTTGTCCCTATCAGCAAGAGAGAGTGAGTTAATGATAAAAGTAGCAATAGCACTTACCCCATAATGCTTTACAGCCCTCTCTAAGCAGCTTACAGAGTCAGCTTATTGCCCCCCAACAATCTGGGTCTTCATTTTACTGATCTCGGAAGGATGGAAGGCTGAGTCAACCTTGAGCCACTCAGAATCAAATTCTTGGCAGTGGGCAGAGTTAGCCTGAAATACTGCATTCTAACCACTGTGCCATCATGACATGGTATAGCATAGCATAGCGTAGCACTTAGACTTATATACTGCTTCACAGTGCTTTATAGCCCTCTCAAAGCAGTTTACATATTGCCCCCAACAATCTGGGTCCTAATTTTACCGGTCTCGGAAGAATGGAGGGCTGAGTCAACCTTAAGACAGTCAGGATCAAATTCTTGGCTATGGGCAGAGTTAGCTTGCAATACTGCATTCTAACTATTGCGCCACCATGGTAAAAGTAAAGCTTTGCCCTGCTCAGTCATGTCTGACTCGAGAGGGAAGTGCTCATCTCCATTTCTTAGCCAAGGGAGCCAGCATTGTCCAAAGACTCTTCCGTGGTCATGTGGCCAGCGTGACTATATGCTGAGGCACACGGAACGTTGTTACTTTCCCACCGAAGTGGTAGGATAATCTTCACCTCTTTGTGTGCCCCGATGTTGATCCCGAGTGATAGTTCCAGGGGAATCTTTCTATATATCTACAAGATTTCTGTATCTCGAGGGAATTTTTAATGGCTTTGATTCAGTTGCTGATATTTGCCAATTTCCTAGAGAAAGAGACTAAATACTCAGTTTTAGCCCGTGTCAATACAGGCCAGGGGTGTCAAACTGGATTTCTTTGAGGGCCAGATTAGCACTGCAGTTCTCCACGGGCCAGCTGGGGAGTGTGGGGGAGGCGGGACAGACGCCTCCTGCAGCCGACCCTGCCAGCCAAATTGGAGTGGGGGCAATGCGCATGGCCTCCTGCAGCACTTTTCCAGCCAAAATGGGAATATTTCCCTGTTTTTTAGCTCAACTGATTCGCAGCGAATGGCCATGCGTCAGCTGTTTTATTCACCAGCACTGACATAGAAGGTAATTTTTTAAGCTTAAAATGAGTGTTTTTTGAACACTTTGCGCACACAACGTGTGCGTGCAAGCGTGCGAAGTGCACGCTCACCGAACCGGTTGTTAAAGTGGTTGCATCCCACCACTGGGCAAGTGGTCTTGGTGACAAGGATGGTATGAGGGTCTTGCCTTCTCACAATAACAACCTCATTCAACTTCAGATGCTTGTTCATTGTGGGCCTAACCCTATGAATCTGATGTTGAGATGGACCAGCTGTTATTCAGTTCAATCTGTTAAACTTTTTAAGGCTACGAAATGCCAAAATCGTGTCTCATTTTATTGAGGATTAAAGAAAAACACTTATGAAAATAAACTGGATAAAAATGTTTTGATAATACTCTATTTCCACTAACATTGAATCCAAATAAAAAGATGATAGTGTGCTTTTTTGAGCAAAGGGAAGGTCATAAAACGCTGTTTGGATGGGACTGGAGAATGTCTAGCATGAGGTCTTTAAAAACAGCGTCTAAAAAAGATAATGGAAAACCACATCTGAAAGTTTCAAGTGGAATTCTTTTAATTACCCTTTTATTTCTTTTTGTAGAAGTCAGGAAATGGGTCTGGAGGGCTTTTTAGAAGTTCCATTGGGAAGGACATATAAGGAAGGAAAAGCACAATTTGTTAGGGAATGAAACAAAAGTTTACATGTAATCAGGATATCCCAAAATGTTGTAGGACAGGTTTGATAATCCGGAAAATATTTGTATAATATTCTTGAGTATTTCACTCCACCCTTCTTAAGAAACCATTTTAAGAGAGATTTGATGACAATTCTGACTTCATAAGGTATCTATATAGAGTATCATTTTTCAGATTCAAAACCAACTGGGCAGATTTTTTTAGGCCATTCATTCATTATTTTACACACATTGGATTAGGAATCTAGCCACAGAATAAAACATTTAAAGACTTGGAAGGAAATCATACACTTTTATGAAACTGTTCAGTCATTAACATTAACAATAATTAAAAATTGCTGAGAGTTGAATGGCATGTAAATTAATAATAATGAAAAGAGAGGAGAGAGCAAGTTTGACTTGAAAACTGTCATTATTAAATAACTGAATTTGTACAGTGAACCAAGCCGACCTGTAAAGTGGCATTTTTGTATTTTGTCTTAATATCTAAGCAATATAGTGTGTCTGTCATGAGGTATGACTTAGGATATTGTATGTTCAAACCCAATTGTAGCTTACTCAATAAACCATGATTGATCATGCAATCATAGGGTTGGAAAAGACCATGGAGGTCTAGTTCAACCCCTTGTCCAGGGCAGAAATTCTCAAACCATGGCATAGTGAAATGTGTGAATGGCTTGCTTTTGCATGTCACACTAATCCATAATCAATTGCCTGAAAATCAGAATGTCTGAGTTCAACCGAAATGAAATGAAGGGTTGTTTTGTGATTCAGTACAATGGATGAACTTGGCAAAAGGCTGCATTTTCTTGAGATGCTCTTTTAAAAACTTTTTAAAGCTTTGAATCTTGGACAAAACATTAACATTTGTTGGTATCTAAACTTAGTTTTGGTTTTTTTTTTAAAGAATATTTTACTTAATAGTTTTATTTCGAGGTTATTACATTATATACTACTCAAAGCAGCAAACATACATAATACTCTTTCCGTCTCCTATTCCCCATAGCAACTATCCTGTGAGGTGGATAGGGCTGAGAGAGAAGGCCTGGCTCAAAGTCACCCAGCTGGCATTCATGTCTAAGGCAAGACTAGAACTCACAGACTTCTGGTTTCTAGGCCAGCATCTTAACCACTATACCAGTCTGAAAAACAAGGAGAATTTGAGCATAAATATTCAAGATTAAAAGACCTTCCTTCCTTCCTTCCTTCCTTCCTTCCTTCCTTCCTTCCTTCCTTCCTTCCTTCCCAAGATTAAAAGACATAAAAGAAATACTTTCCTTCTTCCTTCTTTCCTTCCTTCCTTCCTTCTTTCCTTTTTTATCCTATGGAGATGAAGAGGTTAACTGTAAAATGTGCCTCTGTCTGTGAAACTATCTGCATAATTAGAAATTTGTCTTTGATGCCGCCTCTTCTTCCTGCCTGCAGTCCTTGTAGTAAATAATGAATAACCCACATAAGTTAACAGAAAGCAAAATGAACAGATTATAGAATTAACCAAAAAACAAAATAATCTTAGGCAAAATCTTCTCATTATTAAGCATTGCAGATAAGCTTCTAATCCTGCATCTGAAACAGATTTATGGTTTTAATTGGGCTGTTTCCCTTTTTCTAGGTCAAGCAGGTGTTGGTGAGTGTGGAGGAGAAATTCCAGGCTGGTGATCATACATTTCTGTGTGGACAGCTGTAAAAGGAGGCAAGCATGAAATTCTGGTCTCTTTCTTTGTTCTCTTGCTATGGATTCCAGAGCAACAGTGTTCATTCCTTTTCATAAAGGCCCTCTGTTGTCCTGGCCAAATTGGGAGTGGAAGAAGAAGCCATTATTACTATTATTATTATTATTTTTAGTTTTGGCTGTCCTTGTGTGTCTTTTTCCTGCATTTTCTTGGTCCTATCAAGATGGCTATGAAAAAACCACCCAACAACCTTGGCTTGGAAAGGAACATTGATCTGACCCAGTTGAAGAAGAACCATTTCTTGACATAATGGAATCCTGGCATGACCACAATGCCCATCACTCCAGAAAACGCGATGCTGTTTCTTCCCATCCTTTATCGATGGTTGCAGGGCCACCTGAAACGGGAAGCTGAGGAACCCGAGCACAGCCTTTGTCATTCGGCCATTAAGAAGCTGAGAGAGTACATCCAGTTGAACTTCCCAATAGAAGAGGGCAAGCGACACTACAGCCCCAGTCCTGTGGATATGGAAATCTGTACGGTTTACTTAACCAAGGATCCAGAAATGACGGAGCCGCTCGGCCTAAGTTTTGGCAATATCCCTGCTTTTGGGGATTATGGTGAAAAAAGGAGAATGGGGAGAAGAAAGAGGGGACATAAAGGCCCAGTGCTTGATGTTGGAAGCATTTGGGTCACTGATTTGAAAAAAAACAGTCCGGCAGGGAAATGTGGAAGAGTTCGCTTGCGAGACGAGATCCTTTCGCTGAATGGCCAGCTAATGGTTGGAGTGGATATTGGTGGTGCAAGGTAAGACATGATGAAGGATACTTCAAGATTGATATGGATGCTCATAGTGAAATCTTCCAGATATTGGTAAATTACAGCTCCTGGCAGTTTTACCATGCTTCCTTCTGTTTGTCTTGAAACTGTTCTAGTCATTTGATTGGCAATATAGCTTCTAATGCTTGGGGAAATGGGATTGATTTGATTCTCTGTATTCTTTCACAGTGAGCAAAATTCATTTAATTTTCTAATCCAAAATTTAATCGCACTGATGGCTGTAAGGAAACTTGAGTTCATGCTCAGAATCTGTACATCTCTGTGTTCTGTAAGTCATCTAATGTAAATAAGAGCGATTCAAATTGCGTAATTGGAAATGCAACTGATTCAGAAGCAGCCCAAGACTTGACAATCCAATTGTTCTGGTGTTTACAGCAAAATATAAGACTAAATCTTTGGCTTTTTGATTTTAGTTTAATGGGACCTCAGTGGGATTCTTTAGATCGGGGCAGTCAAGCTCCCAGCCTATAGGCTGGATGCATCACGCACTGGCCACACCCACATCCGATTTAGCGAAGGGGGGGAGTTCCGATACATCCTGTGATGCTGCCGTGATGATGTGAGTTAGACACCCCTGTTTTAGATCATGTTTTTCTGCACTGGGATGATGGGAAATGTAGTCGAGCAGTATGGAAGATACAGGTAGTTCTTGACTTACAGCCATTCATTTGGTGACTGTTGGAAGTTACAACGGCACTGAAAAGAGGGAGTTAAGACCATTTTTCACACTTACGACTATTGTAGCGTCCCCGTGGTCACGTGATTAAAATTTGGCTGCTCTGCAACTGATTCATAGTTATGATGGTTGCAGTGTTCCGGGATCATGGGATCAATTTTTACGACTTTCTGACAAGCAAAATCAATGGGGAAGCCAGGTTCATTGACCAACTACGTCACCAACTTAACAACTGCAGTGATTCACCTAACAACTGAGTCAATAAAGATTGTAAAATGGGGCAAAATTCACCTAACAACCTTCTTGCTCAGCAATGGAAAATTTGGCCCCAGTTGTGGTTGTAACTGGAGCACTACCTGTATAAGAATAAATCATTGGTATTTTGGGATTTCACGTTAATGGGGAATTCTTTAGATCACGTTTCTCTGTGTGGAGATGATGGGAAGCGCAACCCACAGCAATATGGAAGATACCAGCTAGAACAAAGCCAGCATTACCCAACCTAATGGTAAGACTACTGGAATTCCAGGTGGATTTTTAGATACAGGGACAATCCAATGTCCTTTTTCCTTCTTTAAAACCACACTGTAACCCCCAAGAATACTGAAGCAGTGAGGCCTCTGCAGAGAGCTAGAGCTTTTTGGGGTGGGTGCATGGGAATGTTTTATCGTTTTTATGGTAGTTGTGGCCTGACTAAAATAGATATATAAAACTTATCAGGGACTTATTGCACTGATTTTTTTATCTTCTTTGGTCAGAAAATGTTGCCTGTTTGTGCTGCCAACATTTGAAGTGAGGCTTAAGAGCTTTTCTGGCCCACTGTCATTTACCTCTGGTCAAGCCTTATGTACTTCTTGGCTAATGAGTAGAGCTACAGTAAATTGTGCAGAATGATACAAACCACAGTGTTGTTTAAAGAAAAAGGAAAGGAGCAATGTAAATATGGAACATGTGGAGCCAGTGGATTTGTCTTTCTTTGGAGCAGACTTTAAAAGAAGAGATAAGCAGTGGATATGTGTTTTTACTGGACTGCCGAGTTTATTGGACTAACCCTCTTTGTAGAGCGTGTTGGCAGATACGCTCGCGAAAAATCACCTTTCAGCTTCCTTAAGATTGTCTTTAGTATTGAGTTATTATATTGGGATAAACAGTTGGTGCAGGTGTTTAATGAAAACTAAGCCTGGAAACTAAGTCTCCTAAAGGAACCGAACAGGAGTTTGAACTTGCCAAATACCAGAAATAGGGAGTGAGCAGTCAATTTGGCTTCCAAGTATCTCTGTTCTGGCTGGTATTAAGCCCACTAAGAATCAGGGAAGGATTAACACACTTTTGTTGGGATTTTAAGCATTGGCTGCCAAGCCAAATGTTGCACAGAGAGAAATTGCTTGGGAAAATGGAACACCTGCCTCTGTCCTGTTGGTTTGCAAGAAGAAAAGATGCACGGGAAAGAGTATCAAATCCCCCCAAACAATAGCATAATTCCCCTTCTTCTTCTTTGCTTGCTTGCTTATTTTGGACTCCTGCATCTGTTGCCGTTAATGATGGAGTCAGCGGTTGTTTGCCGCTCCCAAAGTTGGAATGGTTGGATATTTATTTGGATTCTTTTCAGTAATGCTTTGATTGCTTGAAGGATCCAAATTTATTTGGATATTTTTCAGCAATGTTTTGATTGCTTAAAGAATTAGTCAGAAAAAAGATGGTTTTTCTTTGAGATTAGAAGAGGTGAACGTGTGTATGTAAAATGAAGTTTACAAATCACCCCAAGCTGAAGTGTGATTTGATGGGTTTTGGCTAGTTGGTTGGATGTACCCAATCAATTATTAGTCACTCAATAAACCAAACCTAGCTTAAAGTAATATTTCCCAGCCTGATACAGCAATGTATTGGAGTCATGGTATCCAGAATTCTTAGCCAGCATGGCACAATAACTAGGAATTTGAGAATCCAACCCATTTGAGGATTATCCAACTCGGGAAAGTATAACTTAATGCAGCAGGAACACTGCATATAACTAGCTTGTTGCAGAAAGAGGAATGGAAGAGACAGATAACCAAGTATTGGTCCACAGAATGAAGCTCATCAGGTTTCATGAATCCATGGTGTCTCTGTATAGCTTGAATCAAGGCATATTTCATTTTCTGTGAAAAGATACCTCCCTCCACCTCTCCATGAAATGTTAGCAATGAAGCTGCTTCAAACAGTACATCACAACAAACATATTAGTCTAATTTGTGATTCCAGCCATTTTACAGTCTGTAAAATTGTGATTTATGGATTAGCATTATCTGTGAATTGGGTCATTATGGTTGGTTGAATAAATCATAATTAATGCAATACATTCTTTAATGTGATATATTCATCAAATCATAGTTTTCTTTGATGTGCTTAATGTTTGGAGTTATACTTTGTACCATGGCTTGCCAAATGCAATGGCTAGGTTGACATTAAGCCCTAACTAAACTGATCACACATTATAATTTTTCACAATAAATATGTGCTTGCTGTCTTGGGAATAACTAACTGAATGTGGAGTGTATCCACAGGCTCTCATCTGACAAACTCAGGTTTCAGAAGGGTTACCCAAATAGCTAACAGTGAGATATCTATATGAAGAAAACCTACATTCAGTTCTTAGCTTAACCAGCAACTGGTATGATTGCTTCGAAAACAATCTTCATATCCGTTTCTTGAAGAAGAAAAATGTTCAAGAGAACTTGGATCATCTGTAGAAAGTGTGCAAGTGAATTCTTCTGAATCCAAGTGAAATCATTTTTTTATTGGTTCTCAGATTTATATAGCAATAACAATAGTGTTTTAGAAGCATCAGTGCTTCAGTTGAGAACTTGTGCATCTGTAATGAGTTATTGTCAATGATGTTGTTGCAGAGACTCGCATAACTGAAGGGCTGGATGGAGAAGACTGTTATTCTAGTAGACATCTCTTGATGGCACACATTAACTCCACTGAAGAATATAAGTATGGGAATACTATATTAAGAAAGAAACATGATTTTTCTGTCAATTGACAGCATGTGGTGGAATGGAGAATATTGTCTTACGTTTGCTGAGGAAGATACTGCCGAAAGACATCCTGAATCAGTAGGAGGTCCAAATAATAACAAACCATGGATGAAATGCAGGCAGACAAGAGGGAGGCTCTCTTCATGTTAGCCCTAACTGAATAACAGAGTTGGAAGGAATCTTGGAGATCTTCTAGTTCAACTTCCAGCTCAATCAGGAAACCCTACAGTATACCATTTCAGATAAAGCTCTTAAAAAGCTTCCAGTGTTGGAGCATTCACAACTTCTGGAGGCAAGTTGTTCCACTGATTAATCGTTCTCACTGTCAGGAAATTTCCCTCAGTTCTAGGTTGCTTCTCTCCTTGGTTAGTTTCCAACCATTGCTTCTTGTCTTGCCTTCAGGTGCTTTGGAGAATAGATTGACCTCTCTTCTTTGTGGCAGCTCCTTAGATATTAGAACACTGCTAACATGTCAGTCCTAGTGTTTTTTTTCCCCACTAGACGAGACATACCCTGCAACTGTTCTTCATATGTTTTAGCTTCCAGTCCCCTATGTTTTGCTGCAGCTTTCAACCCTGTAGCAGGTATGGAAGGATGAGTAATTGGAGTGGAATTAATCCATATTCATGAAAATTCTTTTGCATGAACAAGGACTCCTCAAGATCTTCAACTATGGGGAATCTTTGCAGATATGCAAGATTTTTCTAAACATCACCTCTGCATGTGAGGTATGGAGCACAAGGAGACATTCTGAATGAACAGGGCTACAAATCCCAAGCAGATGGAGGTGGAGCTAAGAAGTACTAGAATCAACGACTTTTCTAGATGGTAAACATGTCTGGCTTTCTGTATTTCAGCTTAACTTGAAAAATCTCTGTTGGTAGGAGGAAAAGTATTCAACATCTCAAGGAACTTTTCACCAAGCTTCATTCCAACTCACATGGATTAAACCTTGAAATGTACCAAGTGGGTCCGATACATGCATCCATTAAAAAGAAGGAAAGTGGAAATCTCTACGTAGGATTCACTTCAATAGGAGAACTGCTGTGGGTGTTTATTATCTTCTTTCTATCTATTTTTTTTTTGTTCTTTCTTTAGCTTGCTTCAGGTGCAGGGAACCAGGGAAAAAATATAAGCAGTTCGAAAGAAGGGATTGCTTGTATGCTTATGGGATAAAGTCCTTCCTGTTTGAACAGCTTTGCTTTCTAATTATTTGATTTGGCACTCTAGGCTTAGAGCCACTGCTGTGGGTATCTTATGTTTCCCACCCC